ATACGTCGTCTGTGCTTCAAGCATTGGATCTTTCAGACTGAGACTCGATGAAACATTAGCAGACCTTACATTCCAATATGAGTGAAGCTGAGTGCAGCAGTGGAAGAAGCACTTATCACGTGACATTTTACACAAGGAATTGTATGTATCACTGTTTTTTAACCATCAAATGAACCTATGGGACGAGAAAAATATGAGCTTGAAAGTTTTTCCCAAAATAAATCTTTGATCTTGAACCTTTAATCTTTGCCTGCAAATAGAACGTTAAGCTAAAACGACCAGCCAGATGGAGTTAATTTACATGCCAAGTTCGTATCTGGGAGAAGAGCCGACTTGCCTGCTTGACTGCCAGGCTGACCCCGGACAGGGTTCAACGGTGGTACAAATGGTATCAGTTGACCTTCTATCGGCCAAATTAGTGATTCATTTGGTTCTCCATTTCGATCGATAGGCCACGTGAGTGCCTTACGGTGCCATTCCGGATTATCTACATAGGAATAGCGCCACTGACCAAAGGTACTCCAACGTTCCTGTTTAAAAGCCCAACGCTGACAGGAATCATGTGTACGATCCAGTGGTTTGCATGCGGCCACAAATAGCCCCGTTCGTAGAACCAACGGCTCTGAGCTGTTGGGTGGAGTTTTCACTTCTTCCTCATCAAGGTCTGAAGGACTCGAACAATCGGATTTGACTTCTGCAGGATGTTGTAGACATGTGAGTACTTGTTTCTCATCGCCCTAGAACCGGGGAGTTTGGGGCGAACGGAAAGGTGCGGCAATCGATTACAAGACAGACCACGAGAGGCCATTGTGAAATATGAGATTCTCAATTACTGTTTATGGTAACAGCATCAAATGCAAATGCAAAGTGATGAGTTATGACATTAGCAAACATTAAAGTCTCAAATGGAGTCCTAGACTTGAAAGATTTGGGAACCATATGATAGACATCAGTTGTGCAATCAATCGGATTTTCTTATCCAAGTTTGTACAAATAACGACCATTTAATGTAACGAATGTGTCGATTTGTTTAACCTTTTGATTTCAATCAATCGAAAAACCAATGAACTTTAAGGTCAGTTTGAAAGCCATTGTTGTGTAAGTCTATTAACTATTCAAGTTCCCACCCCCGGCGAAGGTTGATCGTAAACATTATAACAACGTCTTATTGTTGCTTTTAAAATGAAATGAAGTCTTACGAAATGATTGTTCCGTATCTTATTTCTAATACTCTACGTACCGATAATAATCTGTTAGGAGACATTCAGATGTATGCTGTGTTGGCAGGCCACTTTTTCATTAAACCCATGTTTTATTCCAATATACATATGTATTCATTACACCGAATAGTAATCAAACAAAGTGTCAACACAACAA